CATGCAGACTTCATACCTGGCGACTCTCATAAAACTGTGTATTAGGCAATTCATGCCTGAAAATATCTAAATACCATGTAGTGAAACAATATTAAAATATATATTTTCAAAATACGATTTAAAATTTTTCTTTTTGAAGAAGTGGAGGTTGACTCATCGCAAATCTTCCTCATCATATATATATATATAATAGGTAAGAAGCACTCACCTGATGCCTCACTAATACGCTTACTGTATATATTAATTTCACTCTCGAACTTTGTCATTTCCATTTAACTCACTTCGGCCTTATTTTCAGTCATGGTCTACACAAGAATTGTTTACCTGACATGTCATGTTTAAAAATGTATGTTATTATTTTAACTAACATAATCAGTACATATCCGTATAAAATTCTAAAACGCGATTCATACACATTTGATACTAATTTTCTTTCACTTAAGCAATACTAACTTAACTTCTTCAAAATAATCTTTCAAGTCCTTGTAATAATAATTATTAATAATAATTCACCTCACCTTTCAAAATTCTACTTTTAACCACCAAATAAACATTTCTTTAAAATATATCCTAATATTTCAAAAACTTTCTAAAAGGTCATTTGATAATCACTTTAATTTCATATCAATCACCATATACAAATTTTCTAGCAATATTTCCAAATAGTACACCAACATTTACTTAATTACCATTTAATTCTGAAAATTTGCATGACTTACGTTTTGGTCCCTAAATTTATACAACCTTCCAAAATGATCAATTTGAACCTTCCAACATAAAGTTTGAGCCTAGTATATCAACTTTCAAACTTTTACATCTTAATCTTCAATTTCTCAATGTATGTGAAAAGGTTCTCTTAATTTAACAAAGTTCCAAATTGGTCCAAACAAATTTCTTGTGCTTTCCATATTCAAAACATATAAAAACAATCCAAGTATACTATAGTTTTTGTTATAATTCGATTCATATATCTGTGCTTTCAATATTTAAATCATATAAACTCGTATGTTTCATGTATTAAATCATAACACAATCTATTTTAATTGAGAATATCAAGTACGTGAGTCTCGTCGAGTGCTAAACAAGAGCATACGTACTGTAGAACACAATATCACTATACTAGGTATCGAGATTATAGTTCATGACATCAAAACACCATGAACCCCATAATTGCACACATAGTACCAGGAGTATTAGAATGTACTAAATACAGGAGTACCCAATGGTACTAATACAGGAGTGCACGAATGCACTAATCAATATCGATCTATAGTATCCCACCTCATGACATTCCAATTATACCTAAGACTTTCAATACACGTACATTGGGCTTTTACCGAAATCATATATAATTTCACATGTCAACTAATCCATGTATACGAATAAAGTAAAAATATCATAAAACTGTGTGTTGGGCAATTAATGCCTGAAAGTATCTAAATTCCATTAAGTGAAACAATATTAAAATATATATTTTCAAAATACGATTTAAAACTTTTCTTTTCAAAGAAGTGGAGGTTGACTCATCGCAAGTCTTCCTCGTCATATATATATAAGATGCACTCATCTGATGTCTCACTTATATGCCTTACTATATCTATCAATTTCACTCTCGAACTTTTTCATTTCCTGTTAACTCGCTTTGGCCTTGTTTTCGGTCATGGTCTACACAAGATTCGTTTACTCGACATGTCAATTTTAAAAACGTATGTTATTATTTTAACTAACATAATCGGTACATATTCGTATAAAATTCTAAAACGTGATTAATACATAATAGATACTAATTTTCTTTCACTTAATCAATACTAACTTAACTTCTTCAAAATAACTTTTCAAGTCCTTGTAATAATATCTATTAATAATAATTCACCTCACCTTTCAAAATTCTACATTTAACCACCAAATAAACATTTCTTTAAAATCTATCATAAAATTTCAAAAACTTTCCAAAATGGTCTTTTGCTAATCATTTTAATTTTATATGTCACCATATACAAATTTTCTAACAATATTTCCAAAACAGTACACCAACACTTACTTAATTACCATTTAATTCCCAAATTATGCATTACTTACATTTTGGTCCCCAAACTTATACAACCTTCCAAAATGATCCAATTAAACCTTCCAATATTAAATTTCAGCCTAGTATATCAACTTTCAAACTTTTACATCTTAATCCTTCAATTTCTTAATGTATATGAAAAGGTCCTGTTAACTTAACAAAGTTTCAAATTGGTCCAAATAATTCTTACATCCATTATAACTCTTAGGAAATTTTTGTATATTTTCCCCAGTTTCTTTCATTATGACCAAATCTATATCAGGAATTCTAGCAAAATTTTTACTTTAATTCAAACATGATTTCTAGCTCCTAACAACATTTTCATGCATCTACATCACTTCCATATCAAATTCAATTCAAACAATCAAGTTTCATCAAAATCTCTAAATTGGTTGAATGTTTCTCCGAGTAAATCCAATGATTTTCAATCGAGATTAAAGCTGGTAAATGATTTTATAACATCACTAACACAAAAATCTATCCTTAAATCGTCAAATTTCGTCTTCCCCTTCAACCCCCATTTTCTTGAAATCACCGCTACAAACATGAAAACATGAAATATTTACACCAACTTGTAAAGAATTTGATGTAGGTTATTTTTCTATTTTATTTCTTAATCCAAAAAGCTTCTAAAATGGCTTAAAATGAAAAAGAAAAACTTGCTCAACCTTGCTATGGAGTACACAACAATAAGGAGGAATAAGAAGAAATTTTCTTGAAAATTATAACAAAGTGTCTCTTAGTAAATTCCACCGTTTAAAAATATGAAAATAACATTATTAACCACCTGTCATCATTCTTCAAAATTTCCTAATTTTTCGATTTAGTCTGGTTATTCGAATACTTTATCGAACTTTATCGCTTCATAGCTTTTTACACAAACTCCGAATAGAGACTCCATTCTTAAGGATGAACTATTCATTTATGAGATAAAATTTATTTTTGGGAAAATTACCTCTTTGGTCCTTGAACTTTTCCCAAGTTTCTACTTTGATCACTAAACTTTCAAAATTTATTTTGGTTGCTTGCCAAAATTTTTTGGTATTACAATGCACTTTAATTTCAATTAAAGGTTCCAATCAAATATGGGGGGATCGTGTTCTAGCTGCTTGTTACATCATTAATAGGCCACCATCTCTGTTCTTAATGGTCGAACTCATTTTGAATTATTGTACTATGGCCACCATATTTGTCCCATTTTAAACTGTTTGGTTCCTTGGTTTATGATACTAAGCCTCATTATACGAATAAGTTTTCATCTAAAATTTATCTTTCAGTTTTTTGAGGCATTCATCTACACAAAAAGGGTATCGTTTATTCAATCTTGAGACTCATCAATTCTTTGTAAGTAGAAATGTCTATTTCTATGAAAATATATTTGCATTTCAATTTCTTGATAATAGAAAATAGACTTGTTTTCATGTTTATCCAAATAGTCTTAGTTTTGAGTTCTTGGTCATTCCCCTTATTTCTTTTGATGCACAATCTTTTCTCATATCCCTGATTCTGATATTGGTTATGTTGCACCGTCTTTGTCTACTAATTCTTCAACACAATCTATTCCTATTTCTTCACCAAATGACTCAGAGGATGAGAGTAGTCCTTCCTCTATTGTTCCTGTTCCTTTGAATGTGCCTATTCTTGTTCGAAAATCTACTCGGGTTTTTAAGCCTCCAAACTGGTTACATGTCTATGTACAATCCTATTATTCTTCTTCACTTCCAGGTCAGTACCCCATTTCTCATTCAATTACCTATGACTATCTTCCTAACAAAACTAAAGTTTTTCCTTCCGCTACTTTTGTTCAGACTGAACCGTCTATTTTTTTTTTTTGAAGCCATTAAAAACCTTATGTGGAATAATACATTCCCACAACCGAGAAACCAGCAAATTTGTTAACCGAGGCTCTTGGGGTGCAATAACATTCACATTTAGTGTCCAAGTTGAGGGTTAAATATGTGTTCAAACCTTCAACTTGAGGGGAAATGTAGAGAATAAATATGATTAGTAGGTTGTTAAGTTTATTAGACAGTTAGAGGAGCAGTTGTACAACAGTTAGTTTATACATATTGTGCTACCGTAAACTTATTATACATTGAATTAATGAGGTGTTCTTTACAAATCAATCATGCGCTCCCATAGCTTCATTATTATACTTAACAATTACAAGTCCAATTAAAATAAGCTCTAATTTTTTTTATCCTAGTTTTCTCTATAAAAGTGGATTTTAGTTTCTTTTAAGTGCCGTGTTTTAGTGTTATCGTTTTTCTAATTTTCTTTTTCCACTTAATTTTTATTTAAATTTTCCACTTAATTTTTATTTAAATTTAAATAAACATTCTTTTCATTTTGAAATTTTTTTTATTTTTCTAATATTCTTGATGCTTTTAATTTTGCCTATTTTTATGGCACAATTATTTTTCTGCTTTTATAACACAATTTTGTCTATTTTTATGACAGTTTAACATTTCGTGTTGCATTCATCACGGCACATATCCTAATAAAGAAAGATTGACAGTCTCGTATAGTTTGATTCTCTTTTACGGTTGTTTTAAGAAACGTTCAAAACCGTTTGCAGAACAATTCATCATATTGATTTTCTCAATCTCCACGCCTACATCAATATTGTATATAGTTTTAAATAAAAACATTAAGACTATTGATAATTATGTTTTTTTTAAGATGAACACGTATTTTTGGAAAGATTTTGATTTTTTACGTCACTTGGGTTTTCATATTGTTGCCTTTGTTCATCTTAACTTCTATTTAATGAAAATAATAATAATGATTCATATTCAATAATAATAATAATAAGAGGAATACAGAGCTCAAATAACTCGTAACAAAACAAATGAGTTGTAACCATAACCGAAATCACACTTGTAAAACAAAACAAAACAAAACAAAATAGAGAAAGAAGAAAGGGATCCCATATCTTCTGCTCCAACCAAAACCAGAATCACACAAGTATTTCAAAACAGCACATGCTTTTGCTTTTTCCCATTCCCACGGTTGCTATGGGAACGTGTTCAAGTGAACAAATCATAGATAAACTTGTTCCTTTACGTAACGATCGAGTTGACGCAACGGGGCTAAAAAACGACGGTGTCCGAGGAGATGCACCGGCACTGTTTGTCGTTTGGGAGAGGAGTGCATCCTCTAAAACCCGGTTCTGAAGCTCGGAAGGATAGTCCCTCATGCAGCTAATGCGCGCCCCCGCGCCTGATGACCACTTGCATGACAACAGTTGAGCTAGTTGATATGTCTTTGGTTCTTCGGATAAACATTCTTCCGATATTTCAATACCGCCTTCCGCAGCGGGTTCCGGAGGCTCACCGGTCTCGCAGATGTCGACCTCATCATCACTTGATGCTATTTCAAGTGCTCTTATTTTCGAGATTAATTCCCGAGACCATCTTGACATGGATATATTAACATTTTGGGTTGCATCAGAATCAAGCTCAGCGTTGGCCTGAATTGAGTTCTCATTATTTGTTTCCTCAATGTGCTTGGAGCCTTCCTGTTCAGGAGCATTGCCCTGAACCATAATATTCTTACTGCTAAAGGCTTCATCATCTTCAGAAGAGAATTGCTGTTCAAACCATCACAAGAGTTGCATTAGTGTCCTCCAACTCGAATATTAACAATAAGAATGTGTTCTCTACCTTGACATTAGTGAGATCAACATTGTGTTCTTGAAGAAACGAAAGGAACTCTAGGAAATTCTCTTCAGTCGGGAGATAGTGTCCGCTGTGAGGCCAGATCGCCCGCAAAACACCATCTTCCACGATCAGTCTTCCGGCAGACAACGTTGCTCCGCCAGCCAAAAAACTCGAATGCTGAAAGGTGCCTTTGTTCTTCATTCCTACATACAAAGTCTTGGATGCACTAAGAACAAAAATCCACTTGGCATCTCTTGGTCCACCAGTGGTATCCACAACATGCCAGCTCTGCTTGTAAACTAACTTCCCTTTCCTTATCACCACTTCAAAGGAATCCCTTTCCGCCTGCAAATCCACAACAATAGCTTCAACTTGAAGATATGGAAAAACAAAAATTAAAAGGTAGATTAAACTCACAGGACCAAGATATTTGATGCATTGCTGTTGAAGCTTTGATCGAGGGCACTTTTCGAGACTGATTTCTTTCCCATCTCCGATATCAAGCCTGTATTTTTGGAAACAAAAGGATAAGACAACGCCTCCTCCTTCGTATGTTTACTTAAAACTTCTCCATTGAAATCTTACCAATAGAAAAATGGCTGTTGACTTTCACATTGAAGCCATGTGGTGTAATAAAATTGGAGATTATGACCATAACGATGCCTTGGATCAATCTGTTAATAACAAGAAAACATGATCAATGAAAGCGTTTATATTTGATGCACCGACCATGTATAATTACCGCCTCGAGCCAATGCTGCAAAGCAAGCTTTCTAGCCTTTTCATCTTTAGACAATCCTTTTCCGACCTGCAAAAGAAGTCAACATTCAGACACCATTGCCCAACATAACTCAACCGATCACCTTCTTCACTTACTTTGGCGGCTCTCGTCCTAGCTCGAGACCACCGCGAAACGGCGGTCTTCTGTTTTTCTATTTCGAAGAAGGATACAGAGGTTCGCTTAAGTTCAGCAAAGTCTAACAACTCCCACCTACAAATGGATTATGAAAATTACTAATATGAAGTTTGGACACATTAAGCTATTTCATTCATTTTTGCATTCATGGCTGGCATTTGGCAATATATATCTCCTTGAAAGAGTAAGCAAAAGATTGAAAGAGGACCATTTCTGCTCAGCAACAACAGCGCAATCTGCTAGTTTCCTCCTTGTCCGAAAGCTCTTGTACACCTTCTGCAACCTTAATGCAGCCTGGTGTTGTCTTCCACCGTTCTCTGCGAAGTTCGAACCCTGGTTTTCCACGGTGTTATCGACCTTATCATTATTCGATTTCATAAAGCTCTCTGTTTCAACAAAGGTAGGATTCTCCGAGCTTGAAGATTCTTCAAGCAGCATGTTCCCGCTACCATTTGGATCCATTCCTTTTGGATCAGAAGCAGGCCTTTTTAAACTGAGAGATTGCAACCTTGTCTTCACCTTCACCTCATTGAAACTTAATGATTTTCCAAGCATGGATTGAACATGGTTACTACCGATACGACTTGAAAGTTTCGATTCCATTGAATACTTGATGCTTGCAACAATCAATGCACTTTGGTTTCAATATTCCAATTCAGAAGAGAAAATCCGCATCACCTTGGACTTTAACACAAGAAGAAAAGAGAAGGCATTGATGAATCAACACAACACCAAACCAACAAAAACACAAATGAAAGAAATAATACCTACAAATCAGAGAAAGCAGGGAATAATAAAAGAGAGTGGGAGAATAAGAATGACTAAAAATGCCAACTTTGGGTTGGGTAACAAAGGATGGCCTTTGCTGCTATTCTTGAAACATCTATTTATATGGGGAGAAACTATTTATTAAGAAGAATTACACAACATCCCACCACGTACGTTTTTGGCTAAAAATGCCAACTTTGTGTTGGGTGATTCGGGATCACGTTCTACATTAATCCCATGTGCCTCTTTTTAACCTGTAACGCGTCTTTGCAGAATTTGTCATTTTTCTTTGTAATTATGTACCTCTGTTTAATAATAATAAATATCTTTTAATATATTCTAAAGCCTAAATTACATTAAAAGTATTTATTTTATTTTAAAATTTATATTTATTAGAGCTTAATATATCCTATTTATTAAAAATGTTATTAATTTTTTTAATGGTTTAGGTGTTTATATACTTTATGGCAAACCTAAGTTGAAATTCTCATTTTATCACTTTTATTCTATTTTTTATCCGATAATCGTATTATAAGATATATAAAATTTTAGATATATAAAATTTTATTGTAATCCAAAGAAAAAAAATCACTTAACTTAATGATTATGGCGATTCACTCTCATCCTTTTGTGCCTAGGTTTGATCCTTCCCATCTATAATAGTCTCGCAGTTTATTTTCTCTTCAATCCTATGATTTATGTAACGATATATGGCATCACGTAATTAGAGGATTTAATTTTTAAAAATTAAATTAAAATTAAGGCTAAATTGATAGATCATATAAATAATGAGAACTAAATGTATAAGTATACTATTTTTCTTAATTTTCACGTCAATTCTTTCGTCGACCGTTAAAAATAAATAATTTAATTAACATCATTTAAATAATTAAATAATTTGATTTACCTGATAACTTTTTTCCTCCCTACCTGCACTCAACCTAAAACAACGAATGTTACACATATTTTAACTCATGATTAAAATTGAATTTATAGTTAAAATCAAAACATTTTTTTAATTAAAAATAACATTTTTCTTTCATTTTAACCCTCGTCGTCTAACTATACAAAATTATCTAAACCAATAATATCCCTATATCAATGCCATGCCATCTGTGGAAAGTTCTAACAATACATGCAAGTAGAGTGGAACAACAGCATAAGCAAATGAATCCAATCTCGTTGTTATATAGAATACCAATCCAAAATGCGTTAACTTCCTGTAAATTTTATACATTTTATAGAAGTTTACTTGCACCCCTAATGCCTTTGATTTTGTAAAAGTTGGTTTCTCTCCACTAAGACTAATTTCTTTAAAAATTTAAGAATTCAAAAATAAACTTGTTGGTATTTAGTTTATTGGGAAGCGTTTACAGTAATACTTGTTTGGATCAATATAAAGTTATAATTGATATTGTGATTCTGCAGTTCCCATCGTCTTTCACCTGAGAATCAAACCATGCATTTCAAAAGGATAGGGTAAAACCCCCAAAAGAGGGAAACCAGAAAATTAAAACAAACCAAAATTTACATTCTGAAAGTGTCGGCTTTTCATCATCTATGGCAATCTCTTTGACAGAATATCCAAATGAACAATAAATTAATTGACTCGACGATCAGATTATAGATCATAAGTTCATATTACCGACCCATTCCCATGCCATGCTTTTGGTACTCCCCATCACCAACAGAGCATGGTCTGTAGTAGATGTCACAGTGGTAACTACCTATGTAAGATGAGAGAGGTGAGGCCGAAAAGTAGTGTATCTTGAACCAGTTATGGCAGATTGCAAGTTTAGAGGAAGTAATCAGGCGTTCTGCGGATAAAATCTGGTTCTCCTCTCCTTGGAGCTGGTTCAAACTGCAGGCCAGATGTACTTTAGAGTTTTACGCACGAGAAAAAAAAAAGAAATTGATGGCGGAACGAAAAGAGGTAGGAGAGAGAAGGGTACCTGGATGAATGTCTGACTGTTGCAATCATCAACTTCCAAGATCGACGCCATGTTTCCGCAGCGACAACAGTAATTCAGGGCACTAAATATAGTAACTACCTTCTGTTCCTGTAGCGACGACATAATTTTGGAATCAGAAAACAAGCAATTTATAATGAGTATACAAGCAAAAACTAATACTCTATTCTAAAACTTTATGTGAGAGATTAAGAACATGGGATGGAGGGAAAAACAATTTAGCATTTTGAGAATCTTGATTACATGTGCCCAGTTAAATCCATCCAGAACCAGCTGATGAGCTCTAGCAATCAATTTTAAGCTGTCTGTATGGTTGAATTGTTCAGATATATCCTGCACAGAGGAATGCAACATTTTAATAATTAAAATAACTGAGAAAAGGAAAGTCAATCACAGAAACGTCAAAAGAATGGTCAAATTGAATATTAGTTACCTGGCCAAAGGTATAACCAGCACCACGTGGTGAGATACCCCAACCGCAACGATCATCAGGATCAGACCACAATAAATCACATGGGCCCTTCATGAGGAACCTCTTGAACACGATCAAAGTTTCTTATATTATCCAGGGTTTCAATTGACGGGGACAATCCACCATGCAGACAAAATATTTCTGACTCCACCTGAAATGAAGAAAACAGCACTGTATCAGTGAATGGCAACACCAAAGTCATTTTTAACTTCCCCAGATTTTCACTTCAGTTCCATATAGTAAAAAGGCTATAAAGCTTATATCTTCTTTTTTCTTTTTGTAATGAGCCACAGATATCCCGCCTATCCGTTTAACATAGTAATAAAGTTGGCTATCATAAAACAATTAATCTTCTGCAGTGAAAAGCACATGTGTGAAATTTTTAGCACCATCTGTAATCTACCCAAAACAAACACGAGAAACATCCAATTGCTTTCATGGACATTCTAAAAATATTTACTGCCATTTTTTAAGGTAGGCACTAAGGGACTTCTAGATACTGCTTAAATTGGTCTTGATATGCTGTAAAATAATAATAGATAGGGATTTACAAACCCAAATGTTTCTTGGTCGGCGAATAAGGCAAAATGTGATTATTCAAACTCCAAAGCTGAAATAGGAATAAACATCTTAATGATAACATAATACTAATACCAAAATGATAAAATGTATGGAGGACAAAAGTCAACTGGAAAGCCCAAAAAATAGAGGCCTACTAAACATAAAGGTTGAAAATCAAAAGACTAATGACGGTAGGAATGCTTTTAGTTCTTTCCTTGACTTTACATAACTATTACCTTAAATTAAAATAGTATACACATTGCATTAATTCAACTTACCAAAGCAGTTAATGGAAAATAGTCAAACAGGTCTGTAAAGATCTTCCAAACGTTAGCATTGCCATACCTGAAAGTAATCACCAGAAGAAGTATTATCATGGATTTACAAGAAGAAGAAACAACTATCTTGTTTCTAGTTTCTACATTAGTACAATTTCCCCGAGGGGTATACCATTTTATATATCATATAATTTGACGTAAATACAACACCGTTTATTTTCTTAACTGAAAAAATAGTTTACTAAAGCTAGTACATTAATGGCTGATAATACATCCTTCGAAATGAAGGTTGTTTGCAGAACTCACTTTCTCAAACATTCATCATAAAACCCATAAGCTTGTGTGATCTGCCAAGAAGAGAAGGAATGACCCAAGAATTAGCTGGGCACCGGGATAAGATGGTAAATATTCCATATTGAACTGAGTTAAGACTCTGATGCAAATTATAACACCATAAAATCTCAAACTTTTCGTGTATCTGTCTATGCACACATGTATTGGGACAGACAAAGTGGAAAGAGCTGGAAGAATTATGCAGACTTCAAACCTGGCGACTCTCATGATTTCCTCTAAGAATGGTAATCCGCTGCGGGTAACGGACTTTCAAAGCCGCCAAGAGCTGAAAGAGGAAAAAGAAAAAAATTGAAATCATTATCAACTAAAAGGAAGGCATATAGGATTAAGTTAGCTTTTGAAGTCTAAAGGTGTAGATCTCACTTTACAAAACTTATGCTAGCACGAAACAAGACAAAGCTTATGGTTGCAAATGTAATCAATAAATTCAATATAATATGTATATTCATGATCAGCGAAAGGAACAGCAGGCAACCTTATTCTAGCATGGAGTATACTCTCATAGAAATAGAAAGTAGAATCCGACAAAAATGTTTCCTATCATATTCTGCATTAGATTGAATTTAATGTGCCTCAAATAGATAGAGGGCCAAAAGAGCTAAATAAGAGAAAATGCAGCAACTCAAAACTCCACATCCGAAGGAAAATTTTCCAAAAGGCAAAGGCAACTCAAAATTATTGGGTTGAAGGCCACTGATACTAAAACAAGTCAGGTGCTGATTGGAGGATTGGCCAAATTTATTCACACAGCTATCAGTCAGGGCCCTAATAATCTAATCCAAATTTCTTCTTAATGTGCTGTTTCTGCCTTCCGGCCACATTTCAGAAGCAATTAAAAATAAATTTTCAGGACAAAAGTAGAAGAAGGCTTTTTGTAATTAACAGTACATACCATAACGGTTTCAACTGAATAGTACCCACGATCGGCATAATCTCCCATAAACAAGTAGTTTGTATCCGGACATTGTCAATGAGGATAAAACTAACCGTAAGGCATAGCCTGAATGTAAAGACTGATATAAGCAATGGAAAATGCAAAGAAAATTTGAGTAACAGATCAGGCGAGGCAACTGAGTTGTATAAGTTGTAAAAAATCCTAAGAATGCCCGAAGAACTCTAGTGTAAGGTCATTATGATTATATGAGATAAAACATTAAGTAGAATTTTTTTATCAAAACAGAACTGTTATGCAGGAAGTCC